CACGTCATTTATTTAGCCACAGATTTAAGCAGAAACGATACAATCCTATCATCATTCTTATCAAAGTTTCCGTGCGTCTTAATTTTAAGTGATTTCAATGAGATTTTACATCCCTTACTTGAATTATATAATTCAAGGGATGGAACACTCTTATTTAAATTCTTGGAACCTTTGGTTAATTCTCTGATTGTTTCGAGTGGTATGGAATTATTTAGCATAGGTGATGATACCTATGCTGCGTACGCAAAGCAATTGCATAAAGACACGAAGAATGTATGAATGGCGCGCATATTTTTGTAAAAAGAAAAAAAAGTTCGAAAATTATTTGCGCAGTATAAATTTTTTGAGTCGCCGCGATAAATAAAATAACAGAAAATAAAACCAAAGGTAAATTTTATTTAATACGATATACAAATATAAAAAAAATACAAAAGAAAAGGAAAGGAGTTGCTGCGTATCTCTAACAATGCAAAGCAAAAACTCGATTTTTTCCAATTAAAGCATCGGGTTTACTTATAACAATTTCCCCGTTGACGATATCATTATCACCAGAAATTAAAGTTGTGTTTACGCTGAATAAGAAAGGATCCGTGGAACCATTTGGTCTGATTTTGAAAAGTTGATCTAAACTTTCATTATCAGGCTTTAAGTCCACGATTTCATTACTACCTTTATACACTTTAAACGAATAATCTTTTTCTTGCCCTTCATCAAAACCATTTTCAAATTGACCAAAGATTAATGTTGTTTTCTCTCTAGTTTCCCAAAATATCATTACACCTGTCGTCAATTCTGGTGGATTTGTAAAGTGTACATAAGCTCGTTTCGAATGTTTTGGACGTTTTGGATGTTTATGTTTAGTAGAAATCGTGTACTTGCTATCGGTATTATCGGACATGTGTGATGAAATAATGAGAGGTAACATGTTATCATCAATGTTCATGAACACGTTTGATTCCGCATCTTGAGTTTGTTTCGATTCACAGAGTAATAAAGAGTAGATCAAAAGTGTTATCAAGATCGAAATAAGTTTCTTCATTTTTCAATAGTTCTGAACGTATACTGAAAATTTTGTTTTACAGATATCAAAATTGTCTGTATTTTAAGTAAAATCATAAACAAAAAAAAAAAAAAACGCCCAAATATCTGATAAAATCGATAAAAATATTTCGTGAGAATTTTTGAGAGGGCGTTGCCCAAGGTTAATCATGAGGTTAGATTTATGCATAAATTATGCATAATCAGATTAAACTTTATTAGTTTCGGGTCTTCTATTTACCCGCAAGATTAGTCATTGAGCCTCTTTTCCTTTTTAAATGAACGCAATTACAACCGATCGATTAATATCTTGCAGAACGAAAAAAAAAAAAAATCTAATTGGTTAAAAATCAAATTTTTACGTTAAGAAATTATCTTTTTTTTTAATATAAACAAATCAAACAAGTGACATCATTAATTAAAGTTTCTTGGAACAATTTTAACAAATAAATCATAAGGCCTATTCATTGTAGAATAGAAGTACTTTAAAGGAGCCTTTCTGTCAATTAATTCAATATCATATTTTCTAAAAGTCAAAGCAATGAAACATTTTGATTTTATCATCGCCATCTTTCGACCCGGGCAACTTCTTAGTCCAGCACCAAACATCAAGAAAGAATTTTTAAATTGTAGTTCTTCATTTGAGACGAGAAATCGATCAGGATTAAATTTATCCGGTTCGTCCCATGCTCTTGAACTATTATTAATGGCTAAAATATTAATATTAAAATGTGTAAATGGAGGCCAACTATACCCCCCGATTTGCACGGTTCCACCATCATTAAATCGATCGACTAACGAAATCGTTGGTCGGACTCTTGCTACTTCCTTTATAACCGCTTCGACGTATTTTAAATTTGAAAGGTCATCATAAGTGATGTCTCGAGTCGGATCGTCCTTAAACACATCATCAAGTTCTTGATAAATACGTTTTTTCACTTCGGGATATTGACATATGTAATAAACCGTGAACGCGATCGTGTTTGCCATCTATTAAAATGTTGAATTACGTGTCAAGTTTTAAAGGAAAGGGGAAAAATGATATGGTATTTGATTTTGAAAAGTTTCCCTACGGTATCAAGTCCTGCGGTTATGGCTTCTAACAGATTAACTTTAATTTCATCATTGGTCATAGGACGCATTAATTCCTCTTCAACTTGTCGAATCTCACTAATATCCCTGGATGTATTTGCCGTAATAAAAGATGTCAACATATCATTTCTAAGGGGTTGACCTAAAGGAGTTTGTTCAATTTCTTCTCTTCTTTCGTTTATTATTTGTAACATTCCATTGAAAACTCTATCCCTACAATCTAAGATAGATTTGGTTTTGCTCTTCATAATTGGAAAGTAGTTCCTAACAAAGGAAGGGAACATGACAAAGTACGAATATCCTGCTAATAATGATTCCACGTCATGAAATAAATTCAAACATTTTTTAATCTTTTCCTCATGTAAGTCATCATTTCCATTCCTGTCAAGATTCTGATTGAATTTTTTATAATATTCATTAAATTTTGCTTCCATACAATATCCTTTTCTTCCTGTAGTGATAAATAGGATTAAATCTGATGTGAAACTATGTGTCCAATAAGTGAAATCGCTCGTTAATCCTTCTTTTCCAATCAAATCCCAACAACTTTCTAATTCTTTAAATAACTTGTTCGTTTCTTTAACAGTTTCTCTTAAAAATCCATGAGATGTGATGGATTGAATAAAAAATTGCTTATTATACTTCCATGATTTTAAGTCATAATTAAATACGACCCCTTTACCGGATGTACCAAATTCTTCCAAATTATCAAGTTTCTCATAACGTAACCTGAATTTTGAGGTCTTCAACGTAGATGAATTGATCATTGGCTCTATCGTATCTAAGGTTGAAACGTAAATTATCCTATGAGAGAATATATAAGTTTCAAATAATGAACCATATTTTTGATGTTGTTTTACGATCCAATCGCCATATTCATTCCTTTTAAATAGGTGAGCGTTACCGATAAGTGGAAGAGGAAATGGACCGGGTAAAGGATTGTTGCGCGCAAAATAATTGTAATAAAAACGTGAGATATATAAAATGATTAATATAATGGATAGATTTATGATATCGGAAATTCCAAAAGAATTTTGAAAATTTGATAAAATTGTCATCGTTATTGTTCCAAGAAAAATAAAAAAAGAATTTTAGTGTGATTAATTTTCCCATGGCTACTTGAAGTGCACAAAATCGAATTAACCAGATTTAGAATGACCTTTTTCCAAACCAGGATTTTTTTCCGAACCAATCAGAATTAGTTTACCCCCTCGCAAATAAATTTTATTTTTATAAATATTTATATATATAACCAACCTAGAATCCTTGGAATTATTTAAATGAATTACAAAAAAAAAAAAAAAAAAGAAGACCTCCAAGATCTCTGACATGATCTTTCGATCTTAAAATAACTGGGCATGTCTTTCCTCACGGATCTTCAAATCTCTCGCTACATAAGGTTTCGTGTACTGTGTTACGAATATTCATGATAAATGTTAAAATTTTTTTTATTTCAAAAAAAGAGTTCTCTATCACCTTGATTCCCAAGTTTTCGACATGAATATTTCTTACCTTCCAGAATTGTGTATGAAAGAAATTTCAACCGTTTTAAAAGATAATCCATCTGGTTTATATAGGTGTTCTTTAATAAATCGTCATTGGAATCAACATTTCTTACCGGAATTATGGAAAAACCCTTTCCAAGAATCACGAATAAATTCAAAACGATTGATTGAAACACTTTTCCTATGCCTTTCACCTGAGGAAAAAGAATCCATTCAAGATTATACAATTAACCCAATCACCTCCAATCCACACACCACGTATTCGAATTTTTTACAAGTTCTCGACCTGAAAAAGATGATTTATTATATTGAAATAAATTTCTCTGTAACGCATCATCAGTTAATTTATGAAAAATTATGTTATCATTTCAATTCTAATTCAACCAATCTTTCAAAGATTATCTTTTTCGTGGGAAAAACCGCAGTAAAGAACAATGCGGATTATGCGGATTTATTCTTATACCCGAATGCGAAAAACCTTTCCACACTTAAAGAGGTGGAATTTCATGGTTTATCATTATCAGGTTTAATATTTAATTGCTACAAGGTCTGCAGGGACCTTCAAACCATCACATTTTATAGTACAGAACCATTTCCGGAATTGTTATTTAACTTTAATGAAAGGTATAACGGGTATAAATATTTCAATTTAAAGAATTTAATTCAATCACAAAGGAGTTTAAAGAATTTGAACATTCAAGGATTCTTGGTTTCGGAGAATAAGTATTTATATGAAGCCGTTAACTCTCAGGTATCTTCCTTGATAAGCATTAAATTTAAATTACTGCATTTAAATAATAATTGTACTTTGGATTATCTAGTAAAATGTAAAAATTTGGAAGAATTACAAATTTTGGAATGTAAATTTCATGGGAATATCATTACCAATGATGAGAATCATCTTGGTAAATTTCCGATCAAATCCAAATTAAAATACCTGAAATTCAAGAATTGTATTCAAACAGATTTCTTGGGGAATTATTCTTTAATTATTTCAATGTTTGGTCAGAATTTAAATTGCTTAGATATTAGAGGTATTGATGTTTTGAGCGATTCAAGAAAGGTGAACTTAATCACATTGGTTGCGACATATTGTCATAATTTAAAGATATTTAAGATTTCCATTATAGATGAGCATGTCAAATATATTCCATCATTACTCTCCTCTTGTCAGAGATTACAACATGTCACCTTTAACACCTATGAGCAAAATGAAATGATTCATATCGATTTATCGGAAATCGGGAAAACCATGCCATCTTCAATGAATAGGTTTACATTGAAGATGAATTTGCATTTTACTCCCGAAAACTTTAAAGAATTTCTAATTAATATCAAGGATAACATTAATTTGAAGGTATTGAGCTTTAGGGAATGTAGATTGTTTAGTAATGATCATTTAGATATGTTAATCAAACATGGAAACGGATGTTTGAGAAGGTTAAAAATAAATAAAACGATAAAAATTGATGAAGAAGAATTACTTAGAGCAAGACAATTTGTAAAGATAGAAACGGCTAAAATCTTGAATAAAACCAGTAACGATTAAGATTTATTAATAGATTTGTATTTTTTTTTTTTTTTTTTTATTTAACGAACATACTGTATATCCTTTATTTCGAACCTCATTACCATGATCTTTTAATAATTGAATTCATAGATTTTTGAGATCAAGGAAATAATCCAATTTTTCAAATAAGTTTTCAGCCTTGGTACATGATAAAAATTTACGATATTTTGCCATTTGTAAATTTTGAAAAGTTCTTGAATAGGTCGTCACAAATTTCATTCGTCTCATACAATTTGTACCACCAAAAAATCTTCGATTCTTAAATCTAATCAGTATGATTTTCAATTAATATGTAATAATTTATCTGCGGCTATGAAAAAATAAAATAGTCAATATACTAGAAATCCACGATTGAATCAAAGAATTCAGCATCAAAACAACAGAATGATATGAATGCTTTCACCAAATAAATCTTCTCTTCCAGATAAATAATTATTATATTGGGTCAATCAAATTTTATTGGTTGATTCGAGCCCATAATTTTTAAGCTATTTTTAAACTTTTTTTTCTCTCACCGCGCGCGAAATTTCATAAAATTACATTAATATTTAAAGTTTAAATAAAGTAAGATTAAAAAGTCACAAAATTGCTATTATGTTTTTTAAAAATTACAAAATATCTTCAAAACCCACAGCTAAGAAGCTTATAAATATTCAACAAAGCCATACAGTTATATGTACAAAAAATGAGTCGATATTTTGAATTCATTATTGCGATTTCAAAAATAAATATGAAATTTTACATACCGTGCTTTAATTTATATTATATTATTATTTAACAGGTTTAGTCAAAGGCTTCACAATTAATGGTTAAATATAGGAAAGACTATTGCAAGAACACCGATTCTATACAAACAAGAAAATTTATAATTTTAAAAAATTTCTAGTAAATATTGTATAATAAAAATAATCGATTTTCAAATTACGGGATACCGTTTGTAGAACGGTTCAGATAACATCCATATAAATACACGATTTCTTTTGCTCACATAGATTCAAGGAGTATTATTGCTCATTAATTACACGGGCATCACGGAAAAAGATATTTGAAATATGAAAACTACAACTGGTGAAAATGTCAACATTTTCTTTGTATCTAGATGATAATTGAATATTATGTCCCAGAATTGTTAAAAAAAAAGAATGGTTTAATTGTATTTAACGGATGATTATGGAATAATAATAATGGTTTTCCTTACTAACAGTTACAATTAACGAAGCATTATTAGAAGTTAATAAATAAAATTTTTTTAGTTCAAGTTTTTTGCCTTTTAAACCAGTGTTATCATTGGGACCGGATTAAAGGATGCATTTATACAGGGTGTGCCTTACTATTTTGGTCGATAGCTAATTTAAAATGTATTAACCAATAATTTACATGCATTTTTATCCAAGAAATTGTCTAAAATTCGTATAGTTAAAAACTTTAACTATTAAGTTAGAGATATGAAAAATAACTATCATTTAATGTGATATATAGTAGCTATTGAAAATACCTAATTTCATATCATGACTTTTTATGTCCCGGACGTTGCTAAAATTCTTGGACATTGTCCCGTCCCAATGATAACACTGGTTTAAAAGGCAAAAACCATCAACTTTAATAACAACCTCTTCAATTTCAACAACTTACTTCAATAATAACAACCATTTCCAACTTCAACCAACTCCAACAACAATAACTAACTCTAACAACAATAACCGTCAATTTCAACAGTCTCTTTTTTCAATTCTAACTTATAGTCCTTTTAACTCTCAATTCTATACCTTTAATTTTGCAATTTTAAAAAATAAAATGCTATCCTTTTTATCTAATATTATGATATTATACCATCTCTTTTTACAATATCAAACACTCCTTTTTTTATTTCACAATGCTATTTCTTTTTTGTTTAAATTAATATAACAAAAATTATTTTATCAATTGATAATATCTTTTATTTTAAATCACACTAAACACATTCTTATTTCAATCTTATTTTTTTTAATATGACATCTACAAAAAAAGTAACTCTTTTAATTTCTCAAAATATGAGCTTTATTTATACTGATTAATATAAGTTAACTTAGATTTTATTTGTTGATTAGATTAAAAAAAGTGGGATATTAAAGTTAATAAATCTACTATAATGTGAGTTTTATAAAGTAAAAACTAATAACTTATCACAGATCTTTTTACTTAAAATATATCATAAATCTGTTACTTTTTTAAACTAGAATTTGCTTTTAAAGAGTTTATATTAGATTATTACTAAATGATTTTAAGTAATATATTATTGATTAAAATAAAATAAATTGAAAATTTCTAAAGATATTTTAAAATTTTTTTTAGATAACTTTAAATAAAGATAGTTAAAAAATGGTGCAATTGAGTTGCAACTTATAATATAATTAAATTTCTTTATAGTATAATTAAGTTACAATTTAATTAAAATTTGAAAATAATTATAGGAACTATTTTTAGCTTTAAGATTATAAAAATATAATAGTATCTAGAAAAACTTCAAAAAAAAATAATATCTATTAATCAATCTATTATTATTAAAGCTTTATTATTATTAAATAATAAGTGTATTGATATTTATTTAAATAAATATTGTACCAGTATGTATTTTTTATATATTTATTTAATATATAATATTTACATTGATATCAATATTTTTATAGATTAGAGCCAGATTAGATTTTAATTACAAAATGCCTTTCTAAATATAAAAAAATAAGAAATGTCTTTTATTACTTTATATATAAATATTAATAGATCGTATAAGTTACTTTCTTTGATTATTAAAAAATATGCAAATTCATATTGTTTTAAAAATATTAATATTTTTAATTTTTAAATAATATATTAAAGTAATTCTAAAGCATGAATATTTATAACAATTTTTTAAAAATAGCTTTAAGAATTTGATTATTTAATAGTTTATAAATATAATAATTAATATTTTATACTATTATTAGATAATTATTCAAATCATAATTTATAGAATTTAATACCATTATATGTTGAAGTTTATCTTTTACTTTTTAATATAACTTTAAAATTATAACTTATAAATATCAGAATTATTATATCTTTTAAAAGATATTATCATATTTTACATATTTAATAAGTGTTGATTTTTTATTAAAGAAATTTTATTAAAAAAATACATTAATTTAATATTAATTTTAGTTAAATATTAAAATAAATCAAAGCTATTAAAGATATCTAAAATTTAAAAATATATATTTTATAAGTAATTTAATATATT